TCCTCCCGCCACAAGCCGCGCCGCAGTCCGCTTGCGCAGCGCCTTGTACAGCGCGTCCGCCTCGGCGCGGCGGGAGGAGGCGGAGGCCTCTCCATCCGCCGGCTGAGCCACGCCCTGCCCTGGCCTCCAGGCCTCGCCCCCGGCCTCCCCCCCCGCCTCCCCCGGCGCCTCACCCCCCGCCTCCCCCACCGCCTCCTCCCCCGCCTCCCCCCCCGCCTCCTCCCCAGCCTCCTCCCCCGCCTCCTCCCCCGCCTCCTCCACCCCCGAACCCGCCCCCGCACCCGCCACAATCGCTCCCGCCCCCACCCCCGTTCCCGCCTCCTCCCCCGCCTCCTCCTCTGCCACACTCTCCCCCGGACCCGCAGCGCCGACCTCCTTCCGATACCATAGCACCGTCATCGGCCGCGGCAGGCGCCGCGCGGCTTCGCGCCGCTCGAGGGCGAAGCCGAGGCTCTCGTACAGCCGGCACGCCTAGCCTCGGCGGATCTCGCGTGATCTCGGCTGATCTCGAGGGGGGAAGCCGAAGCTCTCGGACAGATTGGCGCGCCGCCGGCATCCTCTCTTCCAGCGTGCTCAGCGTGACCGCCGCCGCGCCCGCCGCCCGCGCCTCCTCCAGCGCCGCCGCGCAGCACGCACGCGCCAGGCCGCGCCTGTATACGCAGGGAATGGGCCGTTGGGGGGAGGAGGACTGGTCAGCGCCGCGCACGCGCCAGAGCGGCGCCGTCGGTGCGACGGCGCCGTCGAGACAGAGCAGAGCCGCCACTCGCCGGCCTCGCCTAGTTTTAACTCTCAGAGTATTTGCTTAATAATTAAGGAGGAGTCGGCCGCCACTCGCCGCCCCTCGCCCCCCTCCGCACGCGCCACGCCCGCCGACGCGACCACCTCGCCGCCCGCCTCGGCGACAAAGTGGGCGCTGGCGGCGAAGGAGGCCTGTTCACAGCGAGGGAGTGTGAAGAGACGCCCTTCCTTCTTCTCGGCGAGGCGGAGGCTGGCGAGTGGAGGAGGCCGCGTCGCGCAGCACGCCAAAGTCGGCCGGCACGCCCCTCTCCTGCGCCTCGAGCTCCTGCTCACAGATGCGGCTGTGAAGAGACGCTGTTCACAGCCGGCACGCCCCTCTCCTGCGCCTCGAGCTCCTCGGGCTCATCGGCGCTCAGGGAGAGGTGGTTCGAAACCACGAGCCGCTCGATCGCACGCCTAATCTCGGGTCATCTCGCGTCATCTCGGGGCGATCTGGTTCGAAACCACGAGCCGCTCGATCGCACGCCTAATCTCGGGTCATCTCAAGTCATCTCGGGGCGATCTGGTTCCAAACCACGAGCCGCTCGATCGCACGCCGGTCAGCGGCCGTGGCGCGGCGCAGCACCGGGATTGAGACCGATGCGCTGCCGCCGCCGCCCCCGCCGCCGTCCGCCGCCGCCTCCTCCGCCTCCGCCTCCTCCGCCGCTGCCTCCGCCGCTTCCTCCTCCTCCTCTGCCACCGCCACCGCCTCCGCACGCACACCCGCACTCGCACCCGCACCCGCCTCCGCCGCCGCCTCCGCCGCTGCCGCCTTCACCTTCGCCGCCACCTCCTCTGCGTCCGTCCTCGGCCCGCCGCCGCCATCCTCTCCTCCCTCCTCTATTCCCTCCTCTCCTCCCTCCTCTCCGCCCTCCTCTCCTCCCTCCTCTCTTCCCTCCTCTCCTCCCTCCTCTCCTCCCTCCTCTCCGGCCTCCTCTCCGGCCCGCAGCCGTCGCGCAGAGCCGAAGGCGGAGGCAGGCCCCCACCCTGGCATCGCAAGCGGCGAAGCCACCAAGCCGCGGTGCAAGTGCAGGCAGAGCTTGAGCACCTGCGACCAGCGGAGGGTGTGGGGGAGAGAGCCCCCCCCCCCCCCCCCTACCTGCCCTGGTGCGGGGGCAGGCAAGGCTGGCGCACGAGAGAGTAGCGCGGCGTGTCGCCGGCCGCGGCGGCGGGGGCGGTGACGGCGTGGGAGATGTCCTGGTCCATCAAGAGCAGGCGGCCCGGCGCAGGAGGAACCGCGAGGACCTACCCTCGGACAATCTCCGCTGATCTCGGCTGTATCTCGGCTGTATCTCGGCTGATCTACGCTGATCTCAGCTGATCTGGGCTGATCTCGGCTGATCTCCGCTGCATCTCGGCTGATCTCGGCTGATCTCGCGGCACTGCGAGGGCCTCCCCAGTCGGTGGGTCGAGGCAGCGCGTCTGCGCGCCCCACTCCGGCCACCTGTTCACAGCAGGAGGTGTGAAGAGGGTCGAGGCAGCGCTGTCTGCGCGCCCCACTCCGGCCACCTGTTCACAGCAGGAGGTGTGAAGAGGGTCGAGGCAGCGCGTCTGCGCGCCCCACTCCGGCCACCTGTTCACAGCAGGAGGTGTGAAGAGGGCCGAGGCAGCGCGTCTGCGCGCCCCACTCCGGCTCTCCACCGCCACTCGGGAGAGAGGTAGACGAGCGCTGTCACGAAGCGCGGCTTGCCAGGCGACCGGTTGGGGTAGCGGCCGAAGCAGTCTGTCCACGGCGAAGGTGGAAGCAGCGCCTGCGTCCAGACTGGGCGGACCACTCATTGAGCAACCATGCGGTCCGTCGGTAGGGAGGGCGGTAGAAGCGCCTAGCTTGTCATTCATTGGTAGTTAGTGTGTGAGTGATCAATCACGCAGTTCCGTGCGTTGGGGAGGACGGCGGCGGCGCCGGGTCAGCGTCGATGTGCCAGCCGTACGCCTGTTCACAGCTGCTCGCGGCGTGAAGAGACGCCGTTCACGGGCCGGCGCCGCTGGCCCAGCCATCCACCGCCTCGCCATCGGACGACACCGGCGCGTTCGCCGCGAGAGGCGTCACCTGTTTCAGAGCAGCAGGTGTGAAGAGACGCCGTTCACAGCGTGAGAGACCTTGAGCTGGGTCGCCGACCTGTTCACAGCAGCAGGTGTGAATAGACGCCGTTCACAGCGTGAGAGACCTTGAGCTGGGTCGCCGACCTGTTCACAGCAGCAGGTGTGAAGAGACGCCGTTCACAGCGTGAGGGGCTGCTCACAGCCTTTGCCCGCGAGGGGCGGTCACGCAAAAGACACCCCCCCGGGTCAAGATCGCACGGACAGTCGAAACGGGCAGGGCAGACAGAGAGACAGAGAGCGACTAGTCAGACACGCAGACAGAGATCGACTAGTCAGACACGCAGACAGAGATCGACTAGTCAGACAGGCAGACAGAGAGCGACTAGTCAGACACGCAGACAGAGATCGACTAGTCAGACAGGCAGACAGAGATCGACTAGTCAGACAGGCAGACAGAGATCGACTAGTCAGACAGGCAGACAGAGAGCGACTAGTCAGACAGGCAGACAGAGATCGACTAGTCAGACAAGCAGCGAGTCCCACGGAAGCGCTCACCTCTGGGCCAAAAGCCGCCTCCGGCATGCGGCAGACGTCGACGCCGCCTCCTGTTCACAGCTGCACGCTGTGAAGAGGCGCCGTCCACGGCTGTGGCAGGAGTGGCGACAGCGCCGGCGGGCAAGCGTGCTCCGCTCGATCTCCGCTCTATCTCGGCTCGATCTCGGCTCTATCTCCGCTCTATCTCCACTCTATCCGCCTCCTCCACTCGCGGCGTCGACGGCGCGCAAGTATGCCCCGACTCGCGCCTCCAGCTCCGCCACCGCCGGTGGCGTGTCTCGCCCCTCCGCGCAGAGCGCGGCCAGCCTGCGCGCTGAACACGCCAACCTCAGGGCGGGAAGACGGTATTGTGCGGTGTCTTCAGAGCTCCGCGTGAACACGAGGGATGCGAAGAGCGCGAATACAGTTGAATACGGCCGAGTACAGCGGAGTGCGTGTCCTCTCGAGCGCTAGTTGGAGTACAAGAGTCCGTGTTCCGCTTCTAGCGCGGCCAGCCGTGCCGGCCGCAAGCCGACGCCGCTGCTCGCCGGCCCGCCGGACAGGGTGTCTGAGAAGGAGCCATCGCACCAGTAGTCTGGGTCGGCGCCTGGTGACACAACAACCGCACCGGTGAAGACCAGTCCTAGAGACAGAGCCGTGGCTGCCAGGAGTAGTCTGGGTCGGCGCCATTCTCCGGCGGCCAGGAAGGGCCGTGCAGGAGCGAGAGGAGGCCGGCCCGCAGCTTCTCGTCGACGAGGCCGTCCAACGCCACCAGGCTCGACACGTCCCACCGCCCGCCGACAGCCGCGCCGTCGAGCACCGCATGCAGCGCCTAATCTCGGGTGATCTCGCGTGATCTCGGGTGATCTCGAGGTCACTCCGACGAGCACCGCATGCAGCGCCGGAGTGACGTCAGAGAGAGCCCAGCCGGGGCTTGGCCGCCGCCGGAGAGGCTCGCGAAGCCCGAACGCCTCGATGTCGGCATGCACTGCCCTCTCGACGGCGTCGGCGGCTCCCTCTGCCGTCTGCGGCTCGGTGGTCACTGCGACAAAGACCGGCGACGGCGGATGCGGCTCGTGCGCGACAGCATCGAGCGCCGCTACGATGTGGTGTCGGAGCGTCTCGTCCTCGTCATCCTCGCCGCTGATGAGGAGGGAGCGGCGAGGCGAGTCAAACTGGACGGCACGGAGCGGGCGGCCGTCTCCAGCCGCCTCGCGCAGTGCAGTCGTCGCTGCTGACCGCTCAGATATGCTGAGCGACTTGGAGACGAAGAGGCGAAGCGCCGGAGCGGCGAGGAGAGGCAGGAGTAGCATCGGGAGAATGGCAGTGGACAGGCCCGCGAGGTGTGAGCGGCGCGAACCAGAAAAAAGAATTCGGCGGCGCGGTGGAGCACGAGTTTCCATCCCTCGTAGGGTGGGCGACGGATAGCGCACCACACACCTCTCCTTAAAATCCCTGTGTGGTGGCGGCGTGCCGTCCTCCCATCCCTCCCTTGGGTTGTCTGTTTTCTTTCTTTCTTTTTGAGAGCGCCTTCGTTGTTAATAGTACAAACCCAATGGTCCTCTGCGAGCGGTCCTTCGCTGCAGTCGCACACACGCACACGCCACGCCGCACCGCGCGCCCGCCCACCGCCCCGCCCAGGCGGGAAAGAGGTGGGGAGATGGGACAGCGAAGGAGGAGCACGAGCACGTATGGGAGGGTTCAGTAATGCGCCACGCTGCCCGGCGTCTCTCACTTTCCGGGACAGCCCCGCCCTTGTGAGGCAGGAAAGTGACGGCTACCCCGTACGCGCCTGCCGCTCTACTCGTCGCCGACCGCCCATTCTCCCCTCCTCGTTCCCGCCTCGAACTCTCCGGACCCCGACAAGCCGCCCGACGTTGGGCCTCTGTCCCGCACGCTCCCGCCCCTTCTGCCCCTCACACACACCCAGGCCCGACACGCACTCTGCCCCGCACGCCCCCGCCCCTTCTGCCCCTCGCTCACGCCCCGGCCCGACGCGCACATACAAGACAAACCCGGCGTCCTGCTCTCAAAAGAAAAAGAAAAAAGGGAATGAGGAGACCAGCGGGGGAGACTCCCCGCCTATGCAAGCCCCAGAGAGGGGCCGCCATCGCCGAAGCTGTGCCAAAGCATAACTCCAAAACCCGCAGCGGCCCAGGGGGCCTTGGGGGCAGCCTGCCGGACCGCCGCTGCACGGGGCTAGGCACCAGAAGATGAGTGGAATTGATGAATTGGGCCGTTGTCCGTGCCTCCCCTCTATACGTCAGAGTGGGACCTACGCCGCGCCGGGAAAGGGGCGCGCCCGGTCCTCGACGGAGCCGCGCGCCCCAAACGACCCAGGCGGCGAGTAGTCGTCCTCGAACCTTCGACATGTAGTTGCCCATAGTTAGCGCCCGCCCGCCCCCCCCCTCCGTCGCTTCGCAAAAGAAAAAACAAAATAAAAACAAGCAAAAGAGAAAGCGAAGCCTTAAACGATTGCGTAAACGGCGTCACAAAGCCCGCCGGTTTTGATCGACAATCGTGAGATTGACCGCCGTCGACCAGAGAATGGCAGACGATGCGTCAGCTTGTGCGGCGCTCGCGCCGCGCAGGCTGGCCCATCGAGGGCACTCTCTGGCGCTGTCCGGGCCAAGCGCGGCGCCGCGCATGCTGCGTGCCACTCGCCGTGGCTTGCGGTGCAGCGCCACTGCAGCCTCGAAAACGTCGCGCACAGCACCAGCATGCTGCCCACCAGGCAGCAGAGTGCTGCACCGGCGTGCAGCGGACGCTGCGGCGCTGCGGCACCGCCTCCCCGCCCTGTCCACGGAGCAGGCGAGCGGCGGCACGGCCTTCCACCAGCTGCAGGAGGTGCGCACTTCCCGGTGGAAGCACAGGATGCTCCCTCCGCATACGCAGCTTTGCGCAGCGCAGCGTACGGGCCACGCCACGCAAAGCCGACCCTCAGTCTGCCCAAGAGGCTGTCTGCGGAAGGCCTGGCAGCATGTACTCGCCTCCTCCGCGGCCATGCCCTCCGCCCGGGCGAGCGAGGAGCGGGGACACAACCATTTCTGGAATCGTGTGGGCCCCCGCCCCCGCTTTTTCCATCCCTCGTTTGGCGTGTCTGTTTTCTTTCTTTCTTTACGAGTTTTACTGCGAGCACAGCACTACGAGGACGGACTTGTACATTTACCAGGGCGTGATTGGGGACCTGCCCTGCATCGGCGACACCAAGATCTTTGCCGGTGTGCCGTCGGACCCCTCGGGGGTGGGGCGCATGGGGGCGTTTGTCGCTTGCGGCAACACGCTGCCACGCGCCCGCGAGACGGTTCTGGGCGTGGAGGGCGGGGACAGGGGAGGGAGGGTGGGGATGTGGGACCCGCGGACGGGGACCGGGACGGTCGAGGCTGTCAAGGGCCAGTACACGGACGCAGAGGGGAAGTGCCGCGTGGAGGCGCTGCTCTTCGAGGAGTTCGGCGCAATGAGCGGGGGTGGAGGAGCTGCTGATGCGGGTGGCTAAGGTGGCGGGCCGGAAGCTCACGTGGTGGCAGTACGACCAGACATCGTGGTCGGCGCGCGAATGGATGCCGTTTGCGCTGCAGCGACTGTCGGTGCAGCTCTGGACGGCGCTCGCGGACGAGGCACAGCGCGCCATTGGTGCAGCGTCGCGCGACCGCGAGGGACCGCGGGGGGGGCTAGCGGGATGGGGGGCTCTAAGGGGAAGGGAGCGGGGGGCGCCCAGTAGGGCGCCGGCGCCCCAGCGTAGAGGGCCGTGTGTAGCCCTCTTTTTGGTATAACAAAAAGGATTCCATCTGCCGTGGCTCTATAAAACCGCGCGAACCAGAAATTCCATCTGCCGTGGCTCTATAAAACCAGTGTGTGTGTGTGTGTGTGTGTGTGTGTGTGTGTGTGTGTGTGTGTGTGTGTGTGTGTGTGTGTGTGTGTGTGTGTGTGTGTGTGTGTGTGTGTGTGTAGCGACACCCCCCGCCCCGACAAAATAAAAGAAATTTAAATCTGAGCTCCACCAAAAATAAAGCAACGGAGAAAGGGAGAAAGGAGAAAGGAAGAAGAAACTGGGGAAAGGGAAACGTGGACAAGATCATCAGGGGGGATTGAATCATTCTTTCAACTTGTCCACACGATGATGATCTCGGGGGCCATTGCCGATGGGGCCCATTGCCGATTTGCCGCACGACGAGAGCCGCCCCTCGCCATCGATGAAGAGGTTGTGGCGCAGGCCTGCCGCTGCTGCTACTGCGACGGCGGCTGCGGGGTCGCTTGCGGCTGCGGGACTGCGTGTGCGGCACCAACCGCCAGTAGCCACCAGGCTCTCGCGTCTCGGAAGCGGCCAGTCGTGTGTGGATCGGTTTATGTCTGTGGGTGAACGGGCTCTGCTAGCTAGCCTCCACCGTTTGTCGTTTTTTTTCCAGCACACAAATCACAAAGACCACCCTACGTACGTACGTGCCCCCGAGTTCATTTTAACAACACGCTCGACGACGTGTGCGCATGATGACCAAACGGTGTAGCTCCCGCGGCCCGACGCGTTCGGTGGCCGGCGCTTGGGCGCCAGCCCCTCTCGTATGGCAGACGCATCACGGGCTTGCCCGGAAGGCTCCGGCCCAGTGTGTGTGTGTGTGTGTGTGTGTGTGTGTGTGTGTGTGTGTGTGTGTGTGTGTGTGTGTGTGTGTGTGTGTGTGTGTGTGTGTGTGTGTGTGTGTGTGTGTGTGAGCCCATGAGAGGACTCGAGGCGGCAGCGCGTCGGATGGAAGTTATTGTGGGGAAGTCAAGAACTCGTTGCAGTACAAGTGCAGTCCAGGGGTCGGGAGGCAGGAGACGCAGACGTGTAGTTGCGGAGATTTTCTGTCTTCGGCAGTGATTCCACGGCAGATCGCACGTCTCCATCACTGAAGAAGATCTTGATGAGGACTGCGTCTCGGGACGGCAGTCGGCACGGCAAGTGGGTGAGAACAAACAAGGCAGGAGGGGGGCAGGGGCTGTTTCGAGAGCTCACTTGCGAGGTGCGTCGGCTTCGACAGTCCAAGTCTCGCCGGCTTTCCGTCATGCTGTGCACGTTGAGCTACGCGGACCACTGCGCGACCTTGTTGTACACGTCCGCAGTCTGCTACTACCTAGCTAAAGTCTAGCTTGATCGTTGATGCGGTCACGTGCGACGTGGACCTCCGAGTCCGACGTCCCGATCGTCGTCCGAGTGACATGCGTGAGCCGCCATCTCTTCTGTGAAGTGTTATGAAGGACGCCATCTGCGAAGCAAAAGTATTCAACGAGTCGTGCCAAATTCGCGAGTCGTGTGTCGAGAGGGGAGCTACACACACAAAACACACATGAACTAGCTGGACGTGTGTGCGGCGCGCGGTTATGTAGTGGACGCACACGGGTGCGCGGCCGACGTACACTGTGATCAACACCCGTAATTAGCGCGTGGTGTCGGGTCGGGACGCCGGAAAAACGGCGTGGCGCACCGCAAGTGCTCACCACACGCCGTGTCAAGTCCACCTACGACGCGTCGCCGTCGGCGATGCCGTCGCCGTCGGCATCCGCCATTGAGACGGCGGTGCCGGCCTTGACGCGCGACCACGCTGTCTTCAGGTTGTGGTACATGGGCTTCGTGTTCCACGTCGTGATGTTCATCTCGCCCGTGTCCTTGTCCGCGGCGTGGACCACCACCGTCCCGCGGCAGCAGCAGCAGCACGCGCTCGCCTGCGGTGCATTTCGCCCGGGGCCGTGTGTGGTTCTACAACCGAGGCGTCGAGAGAGTACACAGAGCTATAGTCCGCCGCTCGCCTGGTACGAGAGATCCGTCACGCGGCGGAGGTCGAGCGTCCTTTCCGTCGTCCCGCAGCAGCCAGACTGCTTGTCGATGCGCAGCGTGGTGACGGTCCACGAGGTGGCGCTGCAGCAGAGAGCCGCCAGGCAGCAGCACGGGACTGGGCACACATCGACCCAGGTCTTGTCCTCCCACAGCACCAGCTCGCCGTGCACGAGCGCCTGTGCGGTCCGGGTGCGGACGGCTGAACATTTTCCCATGTACGAGCAGAGCGAGGGTTGATCAGAGCGGAACTTTATCATGAACTTTATCACAAGCAAGCATGCATGCCTGGCCGTCCTTCCTTGTACGCGCCGGCGTCGCCGGCACCGGGGCGATCGTGGGATTATCCATTCCCAACAAGCGGGTCACCAGGACAAGGTGTGCAAGTCAGCGTGCGGGGGCAAAGCGAGAAATCGGAGCAACAGAAAAAAAGTACGCGGCAAAGTACCGAATTCTCTCTTTACCGCGCGTTTTCCATGGCTTACCTCTCGTCGCCCGGCTGCTCCCTTTCCCCGTCACCCGCCGCGCCCTCGCCCGGCCGCCTCACCGCGCACGGAGCGCTCGGCTCTGGCTCGGCTGCTCGCCGCCGCCGCCGCGCGTCCCGCGCCGCCACGCTTGCCCCCTCTCCTGACGCGCACCCCGCGCAGACGGCGCTCCGGGACAGACGGAGCAGCGACCGCGCGCGCGGTCGCTGCTCCGCCCCTCCGTCGCGCGCGCCGCGCGCGCGCTGCGCCGCTGCCGCCGCGCCCCCTTCGCCATCTGTTTCCCGCCGTACTCGAGTATGGTGTGCGGTGCGCGCACGCGCAGCGCACACAGCAGCCTCCCCACCCCGCTACCCACCCCGTCGCGCCGCCGCCGCCGCCCCCGCCGCCGCCGCCGCCCCCGCTGTAGCGTTTGGGGGGCGACTGGCGACGGCAAAAATGCAAGCCCCGCCCCTGGCCACTGTTATCGCTTTCGGCAACACCGAATCATTCTTCCGGAACATGGTTGTGGGCCATGGGCCCTACTGCGAGGAGGGAGAGGGGGGGGTACGGGGGTAGGGGGGGGTGGGAGGGGGCATGGATGAGATAGTCCATAGCGTGTCGTACTCTCTCTCTAGCGTGTCTTATGCAATACGTACGTACTTTTAGCTTACTGGGAGAAAAGAGAGAGGGGGATACGTATGATGTTTTCGCCTTTATGTCTCAGCAAACAGTGCAGCGCTGCACCAAAATACACGACGTCTCATCAGCGACGTCCTACGGACCGAGGGCATGGATGTGCATAAGGTGGCCAACAATTGCATTAGTGGCTCTTACACACATATAGCGGGACTGACCACCTCCCGCGGCGATGCCTCGGGCTGTTGCGGCGGGCCGTTTGCTGCTCGCTGCGATGGCGAAAAACTCGTCTCGTCGCACACCAAGAGCTTATGCTCTGGCGAGATGTGAGGCGCATGCGCCCAGGAGGGGAGGGAGCATGCGTAACGACGCTGCTAGAGATGCTTTCGGGGCCCAGAGATAAAACTTCTGATGCCATGCGTGACCTATTGGAGCCAGGTGTGGTGTGGGCGCGAGAATAGCTCCGCCGTTCATGGAGGCAACCGATGCGAGTCGACTGGTGTGTGTCGTCGTGGTTTCGTATCAAGAATACTCAATCACTCACACTTACCTGTGTGTGTCACTCCCTCCCTTCTCGCTGTCTGAGTGTTGTTTGTTGTTGTTGCTGTCTGTGCGCTTGTGCGACTTGGGTGCAGGCACGGGGTTGTGTTTTTGTGTGAACAGCGCTCGCATCATCATGCACGCTCTCCTCGGGCTCAGTGCGTTGCTTGCGGGCTCAGTGCGTTGCTTGCGGCCGCAGGTAGCTCGTGCTTGTGGACCTTGGATAGTCGGGCATCTAGCCATCTACATCATGCACTCGCAGCGTCACCGCTCTATTCGCCCAACGCCCTATTTCTTTTTTCGCGGGAGGGATGGGAGGACGGCACGCCGCCACCACACAGGGATTTTAAGGAGAGGTGTGTGGTGCGCTAGCCGTCGCCCACCCTAGTATTTTGCCGATGTTATTTTTGTCGTTCTGGGTTCCGCGAACTTGCACGGTGGCGGCTAGCGAATGTCCGCCCGGACCGCCTACCTCCTCTGGTCGCCCGGCTTTGCTCGCGCTCTGGTCATCTCCACAGCCGCAGAGCTAGCGGTCCTCGGCGCGGTGAACACGGTTCCTGCCCTCCAGTTGCTCGCGGAAGACATGGTAGCTGCGGCGCAGCTGGCACTCCTCGAGGGAGCGCACGCCTTGCACTGGTGGTCGGCGATCGCTATGCTCGCGAGCGCCTGCTGTGTGCTTCAGATCATCCTCACAGCGCTCTCGCTCGGCTGCAGCGGCCTCAACGCCCTCCTTGGCCCTGTCCGGCCGCCGCTCCTGGCCGCGATACTGCTGCTGCAGACGGGCAACTGGCACAGCGTTGTGACGAGAAAGCCGGAAAACGCGCGCCTGGTCGCTCTCGGCACCGCAATCTCCGTGCTCATCTCCTTGTCCCCCGAGATCACGGAGCGCTTGCGCCGTCGCCCTCAGCGAGGGGGCGCGGCGGAGCGCGCGGCGGACGGCGCCACAGAGGTCTCGCTGAGGGTCGCAAAGGTGAGCTGCTCTGTGTGCGAGGGAAAGGTGCGGTCCGTTGCCGAGGCGCACACCGCGGTGCTCCGATGCGATGTCGACATCGACCGCTCGCTCGCGAAGCTGACTGTCGACGCCGCCGGAGAGGTTGCCGTGGCCGCGGGGACGGCCGAGGTCTCCTGTGAACGGCGTCTCTTCACACCTGCAGCTGTGAACAGGCTGCCGTGGCCGCGGTGACGGCCGAGGTCGCCGCCTCGCTCGACGCGGCCGGATACCCCGTCACGAGCGGTGGCCGCGAGGCAACCGGTGGCGGCACGGAATGCGAGCGAGCCGCCGTGCGCAAGCCGGGTGGTGGAGTGCGGGACGCGCAGCTTGGCGCCGTCGTCGGCGGGCTGCTCGGCTCGTCCTGCTGCGCCGTCCGGCTCCTGTGAACGGCGTCTCTTCACACCTGCAGCTGTGAGCAGGCTCGTCCTGCTGCGCCGTCCGGCTCCTGTGAACGGCGTCTCTTCACACCTGCAGCTGTGAGCAGGCTCGTCCTGCTGCGCCGTCCGGCTCCTGTGAACGGCGTCTCTTCACACCTGCAGCTGTGAGCAGGCTCGTCCTGCTGCGCCGTCCGGCTCCTGTGAACGGCGTCTCTTCACACCTGCAGCTGTGAGCAGGCTCGTCCTGCTGCGCCGTCCAGCTGACGATCAATGCGCTCGCGCCGCTCGGTATCAACCTGCTGGCCCCTCTCGGCCTGCAGGGCTGCGCTGGGTTCAACACCTTTTTGGGCCCGCTGCGCCCGTACAGCCGCGGCGCGACGGCGACGTTCTTCGCGGTGCGGTGGGCCAGCGCGGGCCATGGCCAGCCGAAGAGAGCGCTGGTGGTGGCGACCGTGCTGGCGGCGCTGCTCACTTACATGCCCGAGATGCTCCTCTTCGCCGGCGCCACAGCGCTCGCGCCGCCCACCGACGGGGCGTACTACCTCGACGTCGCCGTGGGTACGCTCCGCTCCGCTCGGCCTGCAGGCCCTCCCGCCCCCTCCCACGCCCTCGCCCGCGGCCGCAGGCAGTATGGGGTGCGAGGCGTGCCAGCACCACGTGCGCCGCGTCCTGCTCGGCTCGTCGGGCTAGAAGCGGAATGCGTGTTCTTGTCTCCCAACCAGCGACCGAGAGGGCCTCGTAATCCGCCGTAGTCACCCGTATTCCTCTGTATTCACTGTACTCCTCTCCGTTGTCTTCACGCGGTGCTCTGAATACGCTGCACAATACCGTCTTCCCGCCCTGAAGATGGCGTATTCAGCGCGTAGGCTCCTCGGGCGTGGTCGACGCGCGGGTGGCTGTGAACGGCGTCTCTTCACACCTGCAGCTGTGAACAGGCTCCTCGGGCGTGGTCGACGCGCTGGTGGCGGGCACAGAGGAGCAAGGCGTCGCCCGCATGCTCGTGCAACCACGCTGGGGGCTCGACCTCGCCGCCATCGCGAGGCGGGTCAACGACTCGGGGTTCGAGATGGACGGGGCGGCTGCCAAGGTGGCGGACGCCGGCGCGCCGCTGGGGCCGCCGTCGCCCCGCGCGTAAACGGTGGCTGGCGTCTACGAGGTTGAAGTGAGGTCAAGAACAGTCGGGCCAGCGACAGGCATTAGCACGGTGGTATGCGAGAGAGAGATTTTGTTTTTTGGTATGCGTAAACGGGTGGTGTTGTGAGTGTGAGTGAGTTTGTGGTGTGTGTTTGTTGTTTTGTGTATTTTTCTTGGTTTGGACGGCCGTTCAATCACGACCTACGTCGTCCTGCTGTACAATCAATGCGATCGAGGAGCGAAGCCTGGTCGCGGCTACCCCTGCGGTGCCTCTTGATGCGATGATGCGGGTGGGGAGAAGAGAAAGGCAAACAGCCACCGAGGGCGGGGTTCTTCAGAGTAAGGGCGTAGACCTTATTCAGAGTTAACTCCCGCTGCCGCTGCCCGACCGCTCGGAGGACGACAGCGCGTTATTGCCTGAAGAGCTTGCCATGATTCGGAAGTGCAACCAGCCAGAAGATGGAGGCGCTGAAGGCCAAGCTTCAACACTCTCCTCGCAGCCATTGCGTGCCAACGGCCGAGGAGCAGGCGATGCTCTTGTCCATGGCGGCGCTCAATGGACAATGCAGCGCTGGAGTCGGACGCACGCAATCCGGCAAGGGTTGTGCCGAATAGTTAGTGTGTGTTCGCATCGCCCTTAGATTCTTACCGATACACTTATTAGTTCGAGTACTGACGTCTTCTCAGCAAGCTGCGCCTACTCTCTCTACTCTGTACTAGAGCCGAACGTAAGGGCCGGAGGCGGCGGCACCGACGTACCTACGGCTACGCCCGCCGCTCGCTCTCGTCTGGGTGTGCTCGCAGGGGACATGGGTACAGGGGACATGTGCTCGCAGGCGACATGGGTAGGGGGGCCCGACCACTTCATGACCCGGACTCCGCCTCTGCCGGCCGAGCCTCAGTACATGGACTCGATTTCGGCGGAGTACTTTTTGGCGACGACGTCGCGCTTGAGCTTCTGCGTGGCGGTGAGCTCCCCTCCGGGCACGGAGAGCTCGGTGTCGAGAACGACGAACTTCTGCACCTTCTGCGCGCGCGACGCCGCGGCCGCGTTGGCGCGGTCGATGCCTTCCTGGACGGCCTTGGCGACCTTGGGGTCTGCCTTGGCCTCGGCGACCGTGGTGGCGGAAGAGCCGATCGCCTGCATCGCGAGCAAGCAGGTTGCGTCCAGCTTGTCGGTCGGCTGCGGCCCGACCTCGGTCGGCTCCATCACGACTCGCAGCGTGAGCAGGCACGAGAGGAACTTGCGCTTGTCTCCGATGAGCACGGCGTTGCTCACCATCGGGCACTGCAGCTTGACCTGGTAAGGGAAGAGGAAGTGAGGTAGACTTCTCCACACACACACGAGGTGGCGGGGCAAGGGCGAGGCGACCCTCGCGTCTCCACGTCTAGACGACAGGAGCCCCGAAATTAAAAGTGCAAGGCCCAATGCGCGTGGGTGAGCGGCGTGTGTGTGTGTGTGTGTGTGTGTGTGTGTGTGTGTGTGTGAGTGTGTGTGTGTGAGTGTGAGTGTGTGTGTGTCGACCTGGTCCTCGACGAGGACGGGCGGCACGTTCTCGCCTCCCGCCGTGATGATGAGCTCCTTGATGCGGCCCGTGATCGCCAGCCTGAGATATGGGGAGATATGGGGAGATGTGGGGAGATATGAGCTCCTTGATGCGGCCCGTGATCGCCAGCCTGCGTGCTGAATACGCCAACCTCAGGGCGCGAATACGGTCTCGTGCAGCGTAGTCAGAGCACCGCGTGAGTACATGAGATGTGGGGAGGAGATATGGGGAGATATGTCGAGATCGTGCAGAGTACTCGGAGCACCGCGTCACAACGCATGGTGCGACTACAGCGGCTACAGCGGGATGCAGCGGAAGACACTCAGCGGAACACACCTTAGGAACGTGTCCTCTCGAGTGCTAGCTGGGATAGGCATGAATACGTCTTCCGCTTCTCGGGGCGCGAGCATCGGCGTGCCGCTGCCGTCCGGCGCGTCGTAAAACTTGCCGAGGTCGCCCGACCGGAGGAAGCGCGCCTGCTTACCGAGGGGTGGCCGAGGGGTGGCCGAGGGGTGGCCGAGGGGTGGCCGAGGGGTGGCCGAGGGGTGGCCGAGGTGACGTGTGGCCGAGGGGTGGCCGAGGTGACGTGTGGCCGAGGTGTGGCCGGTTTGAGAGACGGCCGAAGCGTACGAGGTGTGTGGCCGAGAGACGGCCGACATCTAGCGGGGCGCGCCTCGTCGAACGTCTCCGCGGTCTTCTCCTCCTTGTTGAGGTACCTAGTACCATACCTCCAGAGTATCGAACCCAGCGCGGGTTCACTCTTGCGGGTGGTGCGGTACGGCACCCCATCATCACATTGCGGCCCCGCATGCACACCTCCCCGTGCCCCTCCTCGCCGGCGGGTGCGAAGCCCTTGCCCTTCTCGAGGTCGAGCTTGACGTAGCCCGGCGCCGCGGCTACGCCGACGGTGCCTGCTCACACGCGGCGCTGTGAACAGCTGCCCCCCTTCTACAACGTGCCTACGATCTCGCCGCGCCGAGCTTGGTCTTCGATGGGAAGGCCGAGGACGTCATGTAGCCTAATTACTTAATTAACACCAATTAACACGAATTAATGGTCTTCGACGGGAAGGCCGAGGACGTCATGTAGCCCGTGGTCTCGCTCATCCCGAAGCCCTCGATGATGTGGATGTCGATCGACCAAAAGTAGCGCAGCACCTCCTTGGAGAGGGGCGCGGCGCCCGAGCCGAAGGCGGTGCACCGGTCGAGGCCGAGCCTGCGTTTAATTAACACTCAGTAACACTAAGTAACACGAATTAACACTAATTAATAGGTGCACCGGTCGAGGCCGAGCCTGCGTTTAATTAACACTAAGTAACACTAAGTAACACGAATTAACACTAATTAATAGGTGCACCGGTCGAGGCCGAGGCTGCGTTGAGAAGACGCCGGCATGAGGGCGGGGCACCGGGAGTGTGCAGCGTACTCAGAGCACCGCGTGAGTACAACGAAAGAGAATACAGCGGAAGACAGCGGGATACAGCGGAGTACGGCTGAGTACGTGTCCTCTCGAGTCCTGGTTGGGATACACATGAACACGTATCCGCTTCTAGGCGCCCGAGATATGGGGAGATATGGGAAGATATGGGGAGATATGGGGAGATATTCCGCTTCTAGGAGCCCGAGCGTCGTCTTGATCTTCGCGAAGACGACCGCCTAATTAAATAATTCACTCGAATGAGCACTAATTAACACTCATCTTGATCTTCGCAACGACGACCGCCTTGCAGAGGAGGTACTTGACCTCGTCTGCGCAGCTCAGCCCCGTGGCCCGGCCGCCAGACTCCGCGAGGCCCAAGTTGCGAGCCAGCCCGACCGCCTTTGCCGCCGCCGCAATCTTCTTCTGCGTCTCCGAGCCCGCCGCGCCCTTCGCCTTCATCGCGTCCATCACCTTCTCCCAGACGCGGGGGACGCCGAAGAAGAAGGTCGGCCGCGTCTGCTGCAGCAGCGGCAGGAGCCCTCCCGAGAGCGCGTCGGGCGTGGCAAAGTAGATGCTTCCGCCGGTGACGGCGGCGAACATGAAGTCGAGGAGGAGCGCGGCGATGTGCGAGAGGGGGAGGTAGGAGAGGTAGACCTGCTCGGGCCCAAAGTCGGCGAGCACGCCCTCGTCCTAACCAATTAATTAACACTAATTGACACTAATTGACACTAATTAGCACTAATTAATAGGAGCGCGAGCTCGTCCTTTGCGAACTGGATGAACGCGTTCGCGTCCCAGGTCAGGTTGTCGTGCGACAGCATCACCCCCTTTCAGTGTCATCGTTATTATGATCATGATGTTTATTATCATCACTATTATTATTACTACTGCTGCATGACTACTACTGTCAACGGGTGTCATTACCTTGGGCGGGCCCGTGGTGCCCGATGTGTAGATGAGGCAGCAGCACTGCGTCGGCTTGAGCTTGGCCTCCTCCGCCTTCACCGTCTGCATGATGTGGCTGTGTCCGTGCGTCGCGCCGACCGTGACGCGCCCCTCTGCCATAAAGTCGACAAAGGAAAGCACCTCCTTGCTGGAGGCGATGTCCGACGGCACCGCGGTCATGTCTCCCCAGACGACGATCTTGGCCAGCTTTTGGCTCTTGTCCCGGAGCAGCGTCTCAAACTTGGAGCCGTGCGCCCAGCTCTCGGTTAGCACGAGCTTCGCCCCGCAGTCCTGGCCGAGGTACTCGCACGTCTCGATCCCGTTGGTAGGGTACGAGCCCACGATGACGCCGCCGGCCTGCACGGAGCCGTGAAATGCGATGAGCCACTGCGGCGTGTTGAAGCCCATCACCACGCACGCGTCCTTGCTCTCGACGCCCATCTTCAGGCACGCATTCGCAAAAATGTAGCACTCTTGCTCGAGCTGCGCCCACGTCATCTTGTCCCAGTGGCTTCCGACCGCCGTGGTGGCCAGGCCAGAGTAGAACGAGTAGGGATGCGCGTCGCTCGGCGCGTCGTCCTTGACGCGCCACGCCACCGCGTCACGCGACGGGTACTTCTCCGCGGTCGCATGAAAACACTCGCACAGCGTCACCGGCGGGAGCGCACTCGCGCCCGTTGCGCCGGGCGGGATGAACAGTGGCACCTCGCCGTCGATTCTCGTCGTGTAAAGCGGGCCTGCTCCGTACACGTGCTTGCCGTCCTCGTCCATGTCTTCAAAGGCGGCGGGGGGCGTCGGCAGGGAGGTCGCTGACGAGAACGATTGATTGCGAAAAAAAAATAAAAGACTGCTGGGTGTCAGGGACACACTCACAACACCACCCGTTTACGCATACCAAAAAACAAAATCTCTCTCTCGCATACCACCGTGCTAATGCCTGTCGCTGGCCCGACTGTTCTTGACCTCACTTAAACCTCGTAGACGCCAGCCACCGTTTACGCGCGGGGCGACGGCGGCCCCAGCGGCGCGCCGGCGTCCGCCACCTTGGCAGCCGCCTCGTCCATCTCGAACCCCGAGTCGTTGACCCGCCTCGCGATGGCGGCGAGGTCGAGCCCCCAGCGTGGTTGCACGAGCATGCGGGCGACGCCTTGCTCCTCTGTGCCCGCCACCAGCGCGTCGACCACGCCGCGTCCGATCTCTAAAAATAAAAGAAATGCCGTTGGTGGCTTTCTTAGTAAGATTCTTAGTCCCCTCCCTGGATGTGAGGTTGCCGACTGCACTCCAAGTGCTCCGCTCGGCTGCGGTTTACTGACTTCTCGGCCGTGGGTATGTGGCCATCATGTCCTCCACATCAAGGAGCCGCTCGACCTCGAGCCTCCTCTCAGCGACCCCAAAGGCGAGCTCAAAGTTGCGTGCGAGCGCGGCTCTGTGGCGTCGCACCGTTGAGAGATCCAAAGCGGATGTCATCGGGGAAGTGACGGTGCAGCAGCGCACAGCAGGCGAGCCCGTCGTTCCACGAGCAGATCCAATTCTCAATGCTCACCCCATACATCCGCGGCGCGGGCGCCACCGCATCATCTGTTCCGTGACGCGATTGCGAAAATTCCATTCGCTTCCGCAGTTGCGGCGAACTCCCTGGACATATGAACGTCGTCTGGCTCAAGCGCGACGTGCGGCTTCATGACCACGAGCCGCTGGCGCTCTCGCCGCCGCTCTGCCAGAGCCGCTGCTTCTCCTCTACGTGTACGAGCCTTGCCACCTTCAGAGTGACTCGTACCATGAGGCCCACCACGTATTTATCAATGAGGGGCTGGCCGACCTCGACGGCAGGGTGCGCACCATCGCCAGCGGCGATGGTGGCGGCCTTACCCTCCGCTTGGGCGACGCTGTCGATGTGCTGGCTGCGCTGCACGCGTTGCTACCAATCAAGCGCCTCTTGAGCCACCGTGAGGTGGGGAACGCATTCTCTCGCGCACGCAATGCACGCGTGTCCGAGTGGGCCGACGCTCATGGCGTGTCGTGGACACAATGCGCGCAGGACGGCGTGAGCGACGTGCGGCACTCTGAGCTCGGTTCAGGTCTTAAAAATCCGGCGCTCAGAACCCTAGTCTACTAGTCCCCTATAAAGATATAACCAGGGATACTTCGCGCAATAAAACTTTCGAGTACGGACCGGGCGGGTTGGCGCGGGAGCGGAAAATTCTTCCCAGTCCGCGCCAGTCTGAGAGAGAGTCCACTCTGCGCCCTTGTCGTGCCAGTGTGCTGTGAGACAGGCTTGTCTTTTCAGAATTCTTTGTTGTAAAATTCTTCTCAGTGTCGTGCGACCGCCTTCTGTTGTAAAATTCTTCTCACTGTCTTTTAAGAATTCTTCTCATGAGTCATGCAATAAATTCTTCTCTGGCGCCGGCGCCCCAGCGTAGAGGGCCGTGTGTAGCCCTCTTTTTGGTATAACGCACTTGGAGCACTTGGAGTGCAGTCGGTAACCTCACATCCAGGGCCGGTGAGCTGAGAAGCGCATCCAGCGGGCCGGATGATCGGTATCGGGTTACGGGCTAGAGAGCCCTAGCCCCGGGGGTGCGCGTTCGCAGGGGGGCAATAAAGGAAGAGGCGGCTGAGGGGGAGGCGGTCCAGGCGGGGAGGGAGGGGACAACCTCGGGGAAGGCGGTGAAGGAGAGGATGGCGAGGGAGGTGACGGGGAAGGCGGCGGCAGGGGGGGAAGGAGGAGGCGGGAGGGGGGGACGGCCAGGGGAGAGGCGGCGGCGTCGGAAGGGGGGGGGGGGGGGGGGCCCAAGAAAAAAAAAAAGGGAATTTAAGAATTGGGCCGTTTTCCCGGCCCCCCCCCTATACGGCAAAAGGGGACCTACCCCCCCCCCGAAAAAGGGGCCCCCCCGTCCTCAAAGAAACCGCCCCCCCCAAAAAACCCAGGGGGGGAGAAAAAAACCCCCCCCCAACCTCCAAAATGTAGTTTCCCAAAATTAGGGGCCGGCCGCCCCCCCCTCCGGGGGTTTTCAAAAAAAAAAAACC